GAATAAAAAGGAATCATGACATGCCACACACGTCATGTGTCCTTAAGGGGTTAAATGCAAATAGTTAAGCCTGTACTTCAGCTTGCCACTTCATTTAACCATTTCACCACCATCTGCCAAAGTGATTGTGCCCCACAACGTAAAGACCCTAACTTTCTATTCTGCTACTTCCAGAGTACAGCGATATCCCTCACATACACTAATGTAATATGACCCTTAACATCTTTAAACATTTGGCAAACATGTCGCTTTCAGTTCTAAAACTGACCCGTTTTTACCATTTTACTCAAATGGAGTCCATGCACTAAATAGTAGCCCCAAACGGCTCTATAATCCTATCATGATGTACCATTTGTAAAAGAAGACAATTTGGGCTATTTAATATGGGGATTGTAATTTCACAAGCTGTGTGTGCACTACTACTTTAAAGACAATAGATTTATAATCTGCCACGTCTCTCGGGTACAGCAATGTCCCACATGTATACTTTTGCTAAGTTTTTGGGCTCAGAGTCACACCCTTGTTAACATGTCTCTTTCTTGGCAGAGTTGCTGTTACTGAACAGTGTCAAACTGTGACTCTAATCCTAAACCTAACTAACCATAACTATGAACTGCTTAGAAAACTGGCTCGTTAGGCTGAGAGTTCCTATTACAGAGATCACATTTCCTCAAAGGGAGACTCCAGTGCTCAACTAAAATAAATATCAAAATTTAAGTGATATACCCACAATGAAAACATGCATACACTTAACTATACATGTCTCATTGTAGATATATACACATATACACAAACACCTACATATATCTTGCAAAAGTTGTACATATTGTCTGCAGCCTTTACAAGCTGCACACCCTCCCTTTCTCATTTCCCAATGCAGCTCAATAAGAAGCCTTTGCAAGGCAGCTGCTCTGAGTGATTGCCATCTTCAGTTTACCTAACCAAACCAGAAAGTAACAGGACGGCTTGTCTGATTAACCTTATTATACTGCCTGGCTGTCAATGTATAATAAAAAGTGCCAATTTATACTGATGTAAAATGATAAAGGTGACACTTCACATATTTAAAAAAAAAAAAAAAAAAATTAAGCTAAAGTTGATTTAGGTGGTCTGGAGTGTTACTTTAACTGGAGTGTTCCTGCGATTAGCTCATAAGGTGAAAGGTGACGAGAGAGCCCGAGGGCCAATTAAGGACGACTGCTGAATTGTCTCATTAGGGCGGCATCAACTATAGCCAATTAGCAACTGATCCTGGAATGCACAGTTGCAGCCGGGCATCAGCTATAAATCACATTAAAAGACCACTGTGAAAGGCTGTCACAGCAGTTCTATTGTACACATTCAGACTACTGAATGAACCCTATGTCAAATAACTCACATGTAAATGGGTATATATACGTAGAGTTTACATTATTTTAGAGCATGCAACAAGATAAAAATCACAGCAACATGGAAGATTATCTTGGGGAACAACCCCTAAACTGCTTTGACTGCATGAATGTGTTAATTGTATTGGAAAAACGTTTAAAAACAACCAGAAGATCAAGTAATACAATTTGTAGTACTCACCTACTGTATCGGATTGATTAAACCATTTAATACAAAACATTTCGGTATATGTCAAAAGGAAAAAAACAACTGTTCAAGTCAAAAACAACAATGTAAACTTATGGTCTTATCAGAAAAGGCCTCTGTGTAGACCAAAACGTTGCACTTTTTTGTTCTACTAAACCTGCCTTTCAGCAGCAACCCCGAGTGCCTGGACCTAATTTATCTTATCTACTAAACTAACCCTGGTAAGCACCTGGATTCCTGAGTGTGAGTGCAGTATCCCAGTTTGTGAATTACCAGAAAAGTCAACTTTAAAAAAGAAAAACATCTTCTTACAATCTACAAAATACTCTAACCTGAAATTACACCAACATAAATATTTGATTACGATCATTCATATATTAGAGAAAGCATGTACATACCTTTATTGCCTTCTGGCCTACTTTATAGCTTCCTCTACTCAGTTTATGCAATGCACGATATGCATCAAGTCGGTGAACCATAACAATATAAGCACAGCCTCTGGGAGGAATCATCTGGAAGGAAACACGTGCGTCATGTTAAATTATGGACTATCATTTGTAGTCTGCAATACTATTTTTTATTTCCATTAGATTTACTAAAGTAAATTTCAAATTTTAAGCCAAATAAGCCAACATTTTTCCATTTTGGCAATAAATTTTAAATGGTCTTTAAATTCTCAGTCTTGTGAATAGCCCTGTAAATATTAACATGCAAAAATTAAGCCCACTACACTTACGCAGCAGCAACAGCTACAGAATAAATCAGCCAAAATACATATAAAAAAAGCAATAAAAAAAAAAAAAAATAGGTTACAAGTGCACTATCCCAAATCCCTATGCACACATAAATAACAGAAGGGTTTTAGTATCACTCCAATGGTCATTAAATTGCAAGCTCACCTCCCCCACCAAGGCATATCTCTTGCCTTTTAGCTGAAAGTAGCATGGTGAATTGTTCGTGTAGGACTCACCTTAGAGGTAAGCCTTCATGTGGCAGATGAGCTTGCACTTTAATGGCCAGATGAGTGGAATAAACCTCCTGTTGCTTAAAACGTGCATAGGGATTTGAGATTTGGCAACCTCCTTTTTTGTTTTTTGTTCTATGTGCCCACCCCATATGTGCCCTATTAAGTGTTAAGTGTGCAGGGGGTTTAGAAAAATACACCTTTCAGTCTCAGAGATGCTGCCTTTTAACTGAAAGCAGTATACTGTAAATTTTAAGTAGTTGATTGTGCAAAGAATTACAGATAAGAACTTTCATGTCTGTTTATCAGCATGCTCTTTAATAACCAAAAATAAAACACTGAACTTCACAGACAATCATAACATTAAATATATATGCATATTTGCAATTTAGGAAGGAAGATGACGGATTGATCTAAGCACTGATTGCTCAATAGCTAGTTGTACATTACAATAAAGAATGCAAGAGTAGAAACAAATCCCAATATTTTATCACCATTAAAAATATTTTTGGCTTTCTAAAATAGCGATTTTATTTAGTAGTTACATACTCACATACTTAATTCCCTGTTCGGCTTCCTGACAGGAGGTTGTGCCTCATCTTAAAAAAAATACTTACATTGATTGACTCAATAGGTCCAAATTCTTCTAGAAGGTTTGCAACATCCTGTTGGCTTGTTCGTTTATCTAGTTGACCTACCCAGAGCGTAGTGCTACAAACTGTAAAAGACAGTAAGGGGTGAAAAAAAAAAAAAAAAGATAACAAAATCAGTACAGAACAAGAGTTGCAGATTTTACACTAGGATTATAAGAAAGAATATTCGTGAAATGTCAAGGAATAATCATTTAAAGTGATAATGTATTAAATAAAAAGTAAATTTAAAGAGTGTAAAAGAGAACCATTATTACGTACCACTAACTGTTTCTGATTTTATTGGTGGAAGACCTTTTAGCTTGCGCTCCCTATCACGCCTCTCTTGTGACCGAGATTTGGGTGAGTGCCTTCTCCTGTCACGAGACCTTGATCGGGAACGCCGATGGCGAGATCTCCGGGAACGTGAACTGGATCTTGAGCGCCGTCTTTTTGGTGACCTGGAATAGCAAATTAAAAAAAAATAAAAAAATAAGACTTCGTATAACAAAACATTGGCATAGAGATTGTCCTATAGCCTTTCAAAAAAATTACACACTTTAAAAAAATAAATAAAAAAAAAAAAGCAATTTTCACATTCAACCTCATGATTATGCCCAACATAGTTAAATATTCCCTTAAATAAATATTGTAATGCTATCCTGTAAGGGGAAGCCCATTTGCACAGAATTACAATAAATATGCACGTGGACCTTCAATGCTTCATTCTGAAGAAGCATTTGATTGGCTGAAATCATCCCTATTAGGACCTTAACCTTAAAGATCGGCAACAAACCAAGACGCCGGTGAATGAAAGAAGTTTCCCTTTATAAGTGGACATTCCATAGGGACACAGACTCTAAAGGCAACAGGAATTTAACTTAATGTTTTAAATGAATTTACACATATACATCATTAGAGTGCTATTTTAAGCTCAGTTGGCTGAACTCCATTCAAAAGAACTATGCATGTGAAATAAAAAGATCATGCGGTTATAATAGCAGTAGCAGGATAAAGGTCTAGCTGACTGCCTCAATATTTTTGTTCGGTATTTACAGATGAAAATGAGGGAAAGGGACCTCAGTTAAGTAAAAGGATAAACAAGTCATTTGTTACACGTGAGTTTACAGAGGAAGAGGTTCTATTTCAACAGTCAAAAGTAAAGACAAATAAGTCAATGGGACCTGATGGAATACACCCAAAGCTATTAAAAGAGCTTAGTGGTGTACTAGCAAAACCATTAACAGATTTATTTAACCAATCATTGTTAACAGGATTAGTCCCAGAAGATTGGATCATGCCAAACTAATCTTATTGATTTTTTTGATTGGGTAACTAAAATTATAGATCAGAGTGGTGCAGTAGACATTGCTTACCTATATTTCAGTAAGGCTTTTGACACTGTTGCACATGGAAGGCTTATCAATAAACTGCAATCTTTAAGTTTGGATTCCAATATTGTTGAATGGGTAAGGCAGTGGCTGAGTGACAGGCAACAGAGGGTGGTAGTCAATGGAGTATATTCGAAGCTTGGGCTTGTCACCAGTGGGGTACCTCAGGGATCTGTACTTGGACCAGTTCTCTTTAATATTTTTATTAGTGATATTGCAGAAGGTCTTGATGGTAAGGTATGTCTTTTTGGTGATGATACTAAGATATGTAACAGGGTTGATGTTCCAGGAGGGATAAGCCAAATGACAAATGATTTAGGTAAACTAGAAAAATAGTCAGCGTTGTGGCAACTGACATTTAATGTGGATAAGTGCAAGATAATGCATCTTGGACGTAAAAACCCAAGGGCAGAGTACAGAATATTTGATCGAGTCCTAACCTCAACATCTGAGGAAAGGGATTTAGGGGTGATTATTTCTGATGACTTAAAGGTAGGCAGACAATGTAATAGAGCAGCAGGAAATGCTATCAGAATGCTTGGTTGTATAGGGAGAGGTATTAGCAGTAGAAAGAGGGAAGTGCTCATGCCATTGTACAGAACACTGGTGAGACCTCACTTGGAGTATTGTACGCAGTACTGGAGACCGTATCTCCAGAAGGATATTGATACTTTAGAGAGAGTTCAGAGAAGGGCTACTAAACTGGTTCATGGATTGCAGGATAAAACTTACCAGGAAAGGTTAAAGGATCTTAACATGTATAGCTTGGAGGAAAGACGAGACAGGGGGGATATGATAGAAACATTTAAATACATAAAGGGAGTCAACACAGTAAAGGAGGAGACAATATTTAAAAGAAAAAGAAAAACTACCACAACAAGAGGACAGAGTCTTAAATTAGAGGGACAAAGGTTTAAAATATAATATCAGGAAGTATTACTTTACAGAGAGGGTAGTGGATTCATGGAATAGCCTTCCAGCTGAAGTGCTAGAGGTTAACACAGTAAAGGAGTTTAAGCATGCGTGGGATAGGCATAAGGCTATCCTTACTATAAGATAAGGCCAGGGACTAATGAAAGTATTTAGAAAATTGGGCAGACTAGATGGGCCAAATGGTTCTTATCTGCCGTCACATTCTACGTTTCTATGGGTACCCCCTGCAAGCAACAACAATTTATATCTACATTTCACCATTTTACCTGGATGCAGACTTTGGCTCAGGTTGATGGCGTTTATTATCTTGAATGCTTGGCTGTTCGAGTTCCATAGGAGCTTCCTAAAAAAAAAAAAAAAAAAAAAAAAAAAAAATACACAAAAATAATATTTATAATTTGAAAATCTATTATAGGTGTAAATCTTGGTACAATAGTGGTGAAAACATCTGTCAGTATAGTAATAACTACACAAAAAAAAGTCCGGCGCTCAAACTCCAAGTACTCTGGGGTGGCAGCAATGACAATAGTACACATCAACCCCAATATATACAGTTGCAAGAAAAAGTATGTGAACCCTTTGGAATGATATGGATTTCTGAACAAATTGGTCATAAAATGTGATCTGATCATCTAAGTCACAACAATAGACAATCACAGTCTGCTTAAACTAATAACACACAAAGAATGAAATGTTGCCATGTTTTTATTGAACACACCATGTAAACATTCACAGTGCAGGTGGAAAAAGTATGTGAACCCCTAGACTAATGACATCTCCAAGAGCTAATTGGAGTGAGATGTCAGCCAACTGGAGTCCAATCAATGAGATGAGATTGGAGGTGTTGGTTACAGCTGCCCTGCCCTATAAAAAACACACACCAGTTCTGGGTTTGCTTTTCACAAGAAGTATTGCCTGATGTGAATGATGCCTCGCACAAAAGAGCTCTCAGAAGACCTATGATTAAGAATTGTTGACTTGCATAAAGCTGGAAAGGGTTATAAAAGTATCTCCAAAAGCCTTGCTGTTCATCAGTCCACGGTAAGACAAATTGTCTATAAATGGAGAAAGTTCAGCACTGCTGCTACTCTCCCTAGGAGTGGCAGTCCTGTAAAGATGACTGCAAGAGCACAGCACAGACTGCTCAATGAGGTGAAGAATCCTAGAGTGTCAGCTAAAGACTTACAAAAGTCACTGGCAAATGCTAACATCCCTGTTAGCGAATCTACAATACGTAAAACACTAAACAAGAATGGATTTCATGGGAGGATACCACTGAGGAAGCCACTGCTGTACGTTTACAGTTTGCACAAGAGCACCTGGATGTTCCACAGCAGTACTGGCAAAATATTCTGTGGACAGATGAAACCAAAGTTGAGTTGTTTGGAAGAAACACAACACTATGTGTAGCAAAAAAAAAGGCACAGCACACCAACATCAAAACCTCATCCCAACTGTGAAGTATGGTGGTGGGGCCATCATGGTTTGGGGCTGCTTTGCTGCATCAGGGCCTGGATGAATTGCTATCATCGAGGGAAAAATTAATTCCCAAGTTTATCAAGACTTTTGCAGGAGAACTTAAGGCCATCTGTCTACCAGCCGAAGCTTAACAGAAGATGGATGTTGCAACAGGACAATGACCCAAAGCATAGAAGTAAATCAACAACAGAATGGCTTAAACAGAAGAAAATACGCCTTCTGAAGTGGCCCAGTCAGAATCCTGACCTTAACCCAATTGAGATGCTGTGGCATCACCTCAAGAAAGCGATTCACACCAGACATCCCAAGAATATTGCTGAATTGAAATAGTTCTGTAAAGAGGAATGGTCAAGAATTACTCCTGACCGTTGTGCACGTCTGATCTGCAACTACAGTAAACATTTGGTTGAAGTTATTGCTGCCAAAGGAGGTTCAACCAGTTATTAAATCCAAGGGTTCACATACTTTTTCCACCTGCACTGTGAATGTTTACATGGTGTGTTCAATAAAAACATGGCAACATTTCATTCTTTGTGTGTTATTAGTTTAAGCAGACTGATTGTCTATTGTTGTGACTTAGATGATGAACAGATCACATTTTATGACCAATTTGTGCAGAAATCCATATCATTCCAAAGGGTTCACATAATTTTTTCTTGCAACTGTACAATAAAACCAAAGGGGAAAAAAAAAAGTTACTGTCACACTATTCCAAATTCCTATGCATATTTATAAAAATGTAGGTTTTTAGTTCTACTTAAATGGCCATTAGACGTAAGCCCATCTGCAGGTAATTCCCACCCACCATGCATCTTTTTTGGACCAATTCTTTTAAACAGAATGCACAAGTTTGCTGATTTGCTTTAAATTTAAAAAAAATTACTTATTTTACACATTTAGGAAACAGGGAAAACATTAATATTGAAAACCAGAAACGGTGCTCCAGGTTACCGGACGGGCCTATTTTCACAAAACTGATGCCTTAACCCAATTACTGAATGACCAATTTGGAAAAAGTGTAAAGCTTTTCATCTCCAAGAGTATCTGTTTTGACATAGACAAAGACATGGAAGTGGACTGAGGATGCTAAAAGCACCATTTACTTTTAGCACCTTGAGTACTGCAAACCACTCAAGATATTTAGTGTGACCAATTAACATTAAAGTCCTAGATACTGAATCAAACATGCAATGTAGGTTATAATGTGTTACCTGGTGAAGCTCTTTCTGCACATGAATTTCATTCTGTGGCATTTGGAAAGGAGGTTGGAAAGGCTGAGGAGATTCTTGAACCACTACTGGAGGGGCTATATTGGGGAAAGCCTGTGTAGGAATCATACCAAACCCAAGCATTTGTCCATTAGGAGGCAACTGAGCCTATAAAATAAATAAAAGGCTCTGTTAGTGAAATGTTTCTGCTCAAAAGAGATCATAGGTGGTGTGCCACTGTAGACCAATTTTTGAAGCCACACCACCTTTTATTAGATTACCAGTACAATAACCTTAAGTCGAGCCACCAACCTTTCCCAAAATACAATAGTTTAAAAATAACAAAACACACAAAAAAGTATCCTATGGGAGTCCAAGGCAAGACATTGAATTCAATCACGCACAGTTGGTAAAATAAATGTGTAACCGTGGCTGGTTCCCTTATTTACCACTATAACGTCTTAAAGTATAGAACTTGGCAGAGCTAACCATACAGATATCTTAGCCACAATTTTATATAGTTAGTGTAAGAGATCCTCTATTTAACATGTATAAATAATTGAGAATACAATATAAAATAAGGAGTGTCTTGGAAGCAATAAAGTTTTGTCTTTTAGGTATTATAAAAATATAAATTTAGACATAAAATCCATTATAGCAGAGTTTATAAGATTAAACTAAATGCTTGCAAATATCATTAATAGGTTAAAATACCCTTCTGAACACCCTCAGGGTCCCCCCCGCTGGCCGGGCTCTGGGGAGAGGAAAGGGTTAAATCTTATTTATTTATTTTTTTCCCAGCGCTGGGCGGGGAGTTCTCCTCCTCTTCGAGCTGAACGCGCATGCGTGTCAGGAGCTGCGCGGGCATGCGCGGCAGGAGCTGCGCACGCATTCAGCCAGTCTCATAGGAAAGCATTTACAATGCTTTCCTATGGACGCTGGCTTCTTCTCACTGTGATTTTCACAGTGAGAAGCACGCAAACGCCTCTAGCGGCTGTCAATGAGACAGCCACTAGAGACTTCAGAGGCTGGATTAAACCATTTATAAACATAGCAGTTTCTCTGAAACTGCTATTTTTTTAAAAAAAAAGTGTTAATCCTATAGGGACCTGGCACCCAAACCACTTCATTAAGCTGAAGTGGTCTGGGTGCCTAGAGAGGTCCCTTTAACTTGGCAAACATACAAGGCCATAACTAAAAGGTGCATACGTCATAGAAATTTTCCTGACTTAGTTCAAGATGACATCTTAAAGACTGAACATCCTTATCTACTAAGGTTACTACAGTATATTACGTACCGAAAGAGTCGTAGGATAGCCTTGAAGCATGTTTATGCATTATTGTTATTGTAATTCGTCTGGGACAAAATGTCCCAAACATAGTATGCACTGAGGTTATTGCTTAAAGAAACCGTTATGAAAAACAATACGTTCCATTTCTAACACCTTGTCAGTTTGCAATATCTCTTAAAGACAAAGTACACAGTTTAAGAAATACAACATTTCGTTCTAAAATTTGTAATATTTGCATTTGCCCATTACAAATATGTGCAGGCTCTTAACCTAAGATTATATGCATTGTTAGTTAGGGCTGTGGCACCCTCACAAGTAAAGGTGGAGCACTGATGAGCCTTGCACAGTGTGTAAACAATATACCTGGTGATGCAGAGATTCCTGTGGCATTCCCATCATCATAGGCTGAAACTGCTCCATGTTTGGCATTTGCCCTGGCATCTGGGTAAATGCTGTTTGCATACCTTCTCCTGAAAATGAGCTGCATAGAAACAGAAAAGAAACCTGTAAGAGGGTAATCACTTATTACACCAACCATTAATATTGTGTTCCAAAAATAAAAGTGCTGCATGGAAGAGTAGTTTTGTTCAGGTATTATTGAGTTGAGACTAACATTACAATACAAAGCAAGCACACACATTGTCTTGGCTTTATAAAATCAGAAGCAAGAGAGATTTTAAACGCCTGGATACAATTCAACATAAATGCTTGAAAAGAACACCAGTAGTAGCAGTATTTTCGTAAGTCATAAGGCTAAATATGCCTTAAGGGACATGCAACGATGGAACTCTACCGCTTAATACATTAAAAGGAAATGTTGTAAAGCTGCTTTGAAAAAAGTACAGCAATCATAAGATTCTATCAACAGAATGTTCAGTAATGAAAAATACCCATTAATAGTTAATGGCAGCCACAAGACTTGCACACAGCTTAAAGGATCACTATAGGCACCCATACCAGTTCAGCTCAATTAAGTGGTCTGGGTGCCAGGTACCTCTAGTTTTAACCCTGCAGCTGAAAACATGGCAGTTTCAGAGAAACGGCTATGTTTCACTGAGGGTTAATCCAGCCTCTAGTAGCTGTCTCACTGAAAGCCACTAGAGGCGCTTCTGCAATTCTCACTGTGAAAATCAGTGAGAAGACGCTGGATGTCCATATGAAAGCATTGCGTAATTCTTTCCTATGGGCGGTTTGAAAGCGCGTGCGGCTCTTGCCGCGCATGCGCATTCTGAGTTGACGTCGGCAGAGGGAGGAGAGGTCACCAGCACAGAGGGAGCCCGGCACTGAAGAAAGGTAAGTGGCTGAAGGGCTTTTAACCCCAACAGCCCAGCGGGAGGCGGCCCGAGGGTGGGAGGGACCTAATGACCCTATAGCGCCAGGAAAATGAGTTTGTTTTCCTGGCACTATAGTGGTCCTTTAAGCGCAACAGGAGTTTATGGGAACCCTATAGGTCTATTTATTCTCTATTCCACAAGTTTCTTTTGGAAGGAAGAAACCGGTTTGTTTTGTGTTGGTTTACAAGAGTCATGTAACAAAACGTCTGTTTCTGCAAATGGAAACAGATGAACTCTTGCAAGGTAAACATCCCTTAAAGGATAAGGCATACTCACAAAGGTGGCTGGGAAGAAGGAGGCGGGGGGCTTGAGGATTCTTTTTTGGAGTCTTCGGTTGCTTCAGGCTCATCATCATAGTCAAATCTGTCAAGTAACTTTAGGAACAGAAATACATAATGGAGTACTCAAAGCATTCTTTAACTTATCACATAACCAGAATTAGAAGCTAGATTAAAAAACAAAAATCCAAGGTCGCCCGAAAGCACTACATTTCTGCGAGCCTCATATTTCAAAAAGCATTGTCTGTGTCCTATAGAAAACACATCCACATGACGAAATTGTGAACAAATATTATTGGAGAAATAAAGTAAACAGAATGCAGGTCAGGAGTCCGGATAAAAGTCAAGGGCTCATGAGCTGCACCACTGTAACTACCTAATAGGGAGCTCCAATGAGGGGGTAACCCTCCAAAATATGTAGGTAATAGGAGTAGGTGATGTGTAGAGTCCCACAAGGGGAAACCATCAGGAGAGCTCCACTGTATAAGAAATGAGGAAGGGAGGCCCTACCTTTAATCAATCTAAGGATAAAAAGGGATATTCAAACAAAAAAGTATAACTTGAAAAAAAGGGAGATCTACTAAACGGTGCTCAGCGGATCAATTGTCTGGAGTACTAGCTAGCATCTAAGTTCCAGTTCCCCTAATGTGAGGAAACAAAGCTCTATAATAGAGTTAAAAAATACAGATCAGCAATATTCCACGTGTTAACACATGCACACCTTGTCAAACGCAGTTTTCCTTTCTGGCTGGTGAGGTGGAGCATTCAATTGAGAGGTAATGGCCTGAACCTGTGCAAGAACATTTTCATCAATGGCAGGAGATTGTGGTTTGGGAGGCTGCTGGAAAGTCTGAAGTATTTGCTGGAGCTGAATGAAAAGAATAGAGATACACCCGTTAAATATCCAAGTCTATTCTACTAATTAAATTGTGTAAAAAAAATACAGCCCCACTGTCCCCAACATTTAATAATTTAGAGTGGAAGAATTGAAATATACCTGCTGTCCTTGCGTGGTTTGAAATAGTTGGGCAACTGCAGCAAAGGCATCTGGATTCGGTAACTGTGGGACAGACACTGCAGGTTCAAGACTTGCAATTTCTTCAGATGGCTCTGAAGACATTGTGCCAAGGGGAGGTGAAGACCCTGCAAAATAAAGTTATTTAATATATCTGTTTAAAGAGAATACATCATCTGCTGTTAAAAATTCACAACTGGAAGTAAAATACAAAGAATACAAAAACATCCACCTTCTACAAATACCGTATTTTTCGCTCTATAAGATGCACCTTTTTCCTTCTCAAAAGTGAGGGTAAATGTCTGTGCGTCTTATGGAACGAATGTGTGCGCACTGCGGTACAGGAACTTCCTTTCAGAGTACAGCCCTGAATCTCCTGTACCACGGTGCGCACTAAGGGACAGGTGTAGGGATGGTAAGGAACAGAACACTATGTGACAGGGGGGTGTGGGAGAACACTATGGGACAGGGGAGGGAAGTGGGTAGTAAAACTTTTTTTCTTGTTTTCTTACTCTAAAATCTAGGAGTGTCTTATGGTATAGAGCGAAAAATACGGTAAATTCTTAGAGTTTAAGGGATCATTATACTTTAATTGTAATCAATTCTATAATAACTTCCATTTTCCTTCAGGGCACGGTTAATAAAAGCCTCAATTATCGCAGGCATGACTAGCCAGGAGATCCACCTGATGCTGCACTCTAACTCCTTTAACTCACCCACAAACAGCAAGAGAAGATCTGTTTGTCAAAGTATGTTTTGTATACCTGGTAAGGGAAACCGATATTCATGGACACACACACACACACACACACACACACACCCCCCCCACACCCCAGAAAGTATATGGATGTCCTACCTTCATCATTGGCAGAGTTATCAGCAAGCATTTCACTTGCAGCCAAAGCTCCTGCTGCCATATCCAACAATGGCTGAATGATTTCAATCTTAAATACGCCATTCTTCTGCCAGAGGTTCAACACGCGGACAATCTTACTCTATAAAACCATGACAGAACAAATAACATGTATGCATTTTATAGACTAAAAGACTCACTGCAAAGCTTCCTTAATTCATACTATGTTAACAATATAGTGTTTGGGGGGGGAGGGGGGGGAGGAGGACACAGAATGTGCACTCCAATCAATTAAAAGAAACCATTAATTTAAAACAAGCAAAAAAAATTAAATTAAAAACTAAAACCAACAGTCCATGAAAGCTGCCATATAAACGTAAGTGTGAAAACAAATATGGCAGGTTATCTGAATTGCTTTTCGTATATGTGCAGCTTCTCAAACACTTCTATACAACCCATTGCAGATAGACTAGACCCTGCTAATTAGTGAACACAGCCAGGGAACACTAACAAATTAATACTATTGTTCTCCATGTCCATAACTGCTCTATGGTAAAGAGGAGCAGGTTACGGTGATCAATGTTTTACTAGTGCACCATTTAAAATTCTGCAGTTTCCTGGTGTACAGACTGGATGCTGTATCGCTGGTTTGAGAGGTGTAACTCTGCAGGCACCTACAGTTTGGCCCAACTGTTTAACTTTTAAAGTTGCCTTAAACAGAAATGATCAGCCACAGGCGCTAGAAAGATTAGCCCAGTTCTATCAACCAATTACTGCCATTCAAGCTTGGACAGTGATTACAGATGTTTGACTTATCAGAAGCACAGACTGGCCAGGCTTAGAGTCCATGTTTTGCTAAATCCTAAATCAATCTATTTGACATGAATCAGAGATAAAGCACACAAAGACTGCATCAAAACAAACAAAAAGCCTCATACATCTTAAAAAAAAAATCAGCTTTTAAAATCTAAAATTGGGACGTTCTAACTAATGAGTTGATTGGGGTGCAATACAACTCTTATCAAAATATTGGAATGACAACTGTTTATTACATTTTTACACACACACTATGTACCCCTACACAAGATTGTTTGGCGGCACATTCCCATTTAAACAATTCCTTAAATATTATACAGGGTAAACAATTTCGTAAAAGCTTTTTTTAAATCAAAAACATCTTACTTACAGAAAAGTATAAGATTTAATTAGCAAACAGTTTTATTAAGATTTCAGTAAGCTGTAAACCATGCTGTTAAAGCCTTAAATCTACCTTGTCTTCTGTGGGGCAGAGATATAAACACTGGAATGTTGCAGTTAAGTTCTTAATAAAGCGTGGACCAAACACATCTTTATCTATACCAAACTGATGCCGAGACTGACGAACAATTGAGTCAATAACATATAATCCAGGAACTTTGTATTCGGGCCTGCACTGTAAAGAAAAAAAAAAAAAACTTAATATTTTCCCTCACTGGATTTTCTCATAAATATAGGTAAGCAGGCATTAGAGAAAGGGAGCAAAGATTTCTTTATTCTTTAAAAATATATTTTAGAAAAAGAATGGCATGTTACTATGGCACTAAAGGAAAATTTATCTTATTTTTACATTTTGCATTTGCTAAGTCTGTTACCTATATTATGAAAAAAAATAGGGATATGCTCCATACATATTCTGATTTGCATAAAATACTACTTTACATATATTTTTTTCATTTTTTTTTTGTTGTTGTTTCAACAACTTTAATATATACAATCAAGTAGTCTCTAGTGTGTTACACGCAGAGTCTCACTTAATCCATGTTCTACAACATGTTATAAAGTTAGGAGTCAATATCCTTTGTTAAAAGGATAATTACATGCCCTGTGCTCTGCATCCTCTGTAAGCATTGCTCATTTACGTTAATAAACAATGACTGAAACACAAAATAAGCAGTTCTATTTACACCATCCTTTCCTTTTATAAGAACCAATAATTGCTATTCATCGGAGCAGATCATCGTATAACCAATCACAAGGCGTGGTTTGGCTTCTATTTTCCACACTGGATGTTAATGAAAAAAACTGTTTATTCAGGCTACACACATCACCATAAACTGATTTAAGCAAACTTAGAACATCCAAGCCAGGTTCCATTTAACAGAGCTTTAAATAGTGGGCAAACATTGCTATTTTATATTCAGAAGTTTAATTTATATAAACAGTGCTCTTCATAGTAGGGAGAGAATACATTAGTTCTAGCTCTTCCAATAAGCAGCAGCAATGATCACAAAAATGTGTTACCTTTTTGATGAACTTCTCCACAATCTGCACTACATGCTTGTAAAGCTGTGGAGGGGAAAATATACCAGATTTTAGTTTTATACTAATAAATGGAAAAGTGAACCAACATGTAAGATATAGATATAATAACTTAAGCCCCCACAAGGACTTTAAGGTTATAACAAAACAGTGAGCTCATCTTCAAAATTTCTATTCCTTACTGCATAAATTCCTACCTTTTCTTAGTTAAGCAATCCTCTTTTCCCCAGCCAAAACTTCCTTATTTGCGCTGGGTAGTGACCAATCAAATGTTTCTTATAGTGAGGCATTGTGAACAAAGAGCATAAAACATCTTGTGTAAACTCAGTTTGGTGAACATACCTAAAGATCAAGACCTACACAAAATATTTTAGTAGGTTGCTGGCGAGAGCAAAACTTTGCACCTGAGTAAGGAGATAAGACTCATCCTCTACTTTTCCTGCAAGCCCTAAAGTAACCATTATGATAGAATGTAGGATAGGGTCTAGATAGATCTCAAGAAATGAGGGGAGACTGAGATACAAAGTCAGAGAACCTATGGCTAGAGCTGCAGATATAGAGTCATTTAACCGCAGATAATCTGTGCACTAAAACACTTTAGCTCAATGAAGTGGTTTTGGTGCTTAGACTGTACTATTAAAAAATAAAATAGTGTCACTTGTTTCAGTTGAGTGCTTCTTTACTTTACACATATCTCGATGCCAAAATTGGTGTATATATTATCAAAGTTTTCAAGATATCTGAATGACTGACTGAATTACTCCAGCCTCCATGATCACTCCGAACGCTACACATACAGAATAATGAGCACTTGTTTGTGCCAGGGGCAAATTACACTCCAGAACACGTGACCACAACAATGTTGGAGGCAGTCTAATGTTAGATCTGTGAAAAACTTCAGTCTGTCAGGGCGTACCGTGAGCTGGTGAAAGTTATAATGAGATTTTAACTATGCAGCCAGCGCTGGGAGCACGCATACAAGGGCAAGTCTAAATCTGAACTCCCTCTCTGGGTGCACTCCTTCCTATCTCCCAACATTAATCCATTCCCTCCATTATCCACCACCCTCTAACTCCCTGGCAGAGAGTATGCACTGAAGCTGTAGATAGGTCCATTGAAATGCTTTTCTATGAGAGGCATTTGATTGGACCACTGAGAGGAAGGAGGAGATGCAGTATGACATTGGACAGCATGGAATTCCAGGTAAGTTCTCCTTTTCCATTTTTTTTTTTAAACTTAAACTTTTTTTTAAGTGTAATATAATTATCAAAATATCACAATTGGTGGTCTATTCACAATGTCAAGGGAGTTGATTTTGCACTGGAGAAGGCAGTAATGCTACAGTAAACAATATTTATCGGAGCAGAGGATAAATAAGATGTCTCACCCAACCATTGCAAACGGATTCAAACAACCTGGGGATCCAGTTCTTTAATCATGAGTTAAAAATACAAACAACAAATACTTTAATACAGCATTGCAAGTGCATTAATTCCTTACCTTAATGGCTTTGATAGCAGCTTTGGTAATAAGAATCATTTTTGCTCGGGATATTGGTGGCTTCATATCCATGAGCGAAAAGAGCTGGAAATGAAAATCATAACATTAGATCCAACTTTAAACCCAGGTAAACTCCGATATCCTACACAATGGAATTTATTTACTAAACAGATAACTGGCGAATTGGAAATCAATTTGAGAAACTAAAACTAATATAGCCAAGTTGGAAAGGGTGTAAAATTAGATACATTTTCCAAAGATACGATCTTGCTCTGAATTATGCAAGTCTGTAGGAGTATTGGTCATGAACCACTTGTGTTCGCAGGTACAGCTAAATATATAAGGGCTGTTTCACAATCAATTTCCCAGTGTTATTTGGCTCTTTTGCTAAGTAAATTTAAGAAAAATCATAAAAATAAGATATACAGTTAGAAAAACGCCATTTAGGCCTGTTTTCTGGGGGTTCTTTTCATTTCAAACAAGGGCAAAGGTGTTATAATAAGAGTCAAATCATTTGGCTGCCAAGCCTGAGAATCCATATTTTTATTTTGTAAAGCTTGAGTAGGCATACTGGATCTTAGTTAACACACAGAAGAAACGTGGGCTTGTATGGCTTTCAGGAGATGGTTGTACAAAAAAAAAAAACTCAAAACAAATACCACAATCATAACAATTAACATGCAGTAAATACCAGCTCATAGAGACAGCGAGGCAACACGAGGAATTCTACTCTTTGCACAGGCTAGGTTGATAAAACGGTGTTACAGATGTGAAACGCTTTCATCCCCTTCCAACCAGCATATCGGCAATTTGTCTGTCCCCCACCCCGTTTTCATTTTCTGCCATTTGAATAGAACTAGTTACCTGGGAGGATGCGTTGGGTTGCGGCGTGGGAACGAGGCATGAATCACTTAGTGCCGCGTTCATGCGCTATTACACCACTGTATACTATGGAATTTCTACTGTATAGCTGAGACATACTATATCCTGGGCAATACTGGTTTTCACCTAATTTTATTCTACCTTGTTTTATACTATACACCCCTAGCCACAACTAGCTAACATGTTACTTTTCTCAATGTTAAGAATCTAACAAGATACCAACCAGATCTTTTGTTTCATAGCTAACATATATAAGCTACAGTTCAATATTGTAAATTAATCTTCTTTCTAAAAAAACAAAAAATTAGGCATCGCAATTGTATACTGGCTGACCGGTGTATCCACCCTATATTGTAATCTGCTCGTACATATCCCCGGGTTTCTCTTCTGTACCCCATCTTATATGCCTTCAATAAAGAAAGATTGACAACAAAAAAAAAAGAACTAGTTACCTGTACAATGTGGGGTCTGTGAAATGATTTTGTCTGCTATATGTTACTTTATATACTATTTTTGAGCAATAAACCTGTGCTTTTATGGTCACTTCTTGTAATATTGAAGGGGAAATTTCTTTGTGCAGTATCCTGAGCGGTTATGGACCTAAAAATAGCTTCCTGACCCCCGTCTAATCTACAATACCAAATTGTGCTTGTTCTGTCTACTGCTTGCCTCTTAAACTCCAACAGGTGCAGAGCAGGCTCAAATGCCTTAAATTGATGTATATTTTGTAACATACAAGGAGTAAAACATTGCATGTATTATAATAAAGTCAACTTCTATTTAAGGCAATTGAGCCTCCTACACACTTATTCCTGTCTTTATCCACATTTGCATCTACATGCCAACCCCACAATCTGGCAAAGGTGAAGAACAATTAATTTGTAAAGGACACCTGCTTATGACTGCATATAGAAACAAATCAAGCACATGGCTAATTGGCTTTATCCACAAGAAGCACAAAAAAAGTTAATCCAGCCCTCAAATCCTCTAGTGGCTGTCTCATTGACAGGCACTTGCGTGAAAATCACAGTAAATGCTTTCCTATGAGACCGGCTGAATGTGCGTGCGCATTCAGCCGATAGGGAGGAGAGGAGGAGGATCGGAGAGCTCCCTGCCCGGCGCTGGAGAAAGGTAAGTTTTAACCCCTTTCCTCTCCCCAGAGCCCGGCGGGAGGGGGACCCTGCGGGTGGGGGCACCCTCAGGGCACTATAGTGCCAAGAAAACGAGTATGTTTTACTGGCACTATAGTGGTCGTTTAAGTGCATGACAAACTACTTGATGAGAATGGGCTTATTTGCAGCACTTTCATTGTAAACTGTGAGATGACCAGGATTGACTGATTGATAACAAAACAGGTTATTTACAATTTTGGGGATCAGTAGCAAACATGGGGCATTCCGTGGTAAGCATCCAATTTGTTTTAAAGGGACACAAGAGCAAAAAACAAACAACTGTGTAATAAAGCAGTTTTGGTGTATAGATGACACCCCTGCAGTCTCACTGCTCAATTCTCTACCTCCCTGCATATTACTTACAGTCTTCCTGTAACACTTCCTTTATTGCACAGTCTGTTAGAATGTCTTATCTGCTGCTTTGTTAAAGGGACACTGTAGGCACCCAGACCACTTTAGCTAATTTAAGTGGTCTGGGTGCAATGTCTCTTAACCCCACAGTGGTAATTACCTTTGAGGGTTAACTCCTCCTGTAATGGCTGTCTACCAGAATCGGCTGTCTTCCAGAATCTAAACGGACCTTTGGTCCATTATCGGACGCTGGACGTCCTCACAGACTGCATGAAGACCTCCAGCTTCAGATTGTTCCCCATACAAAAGCACTGATTAGTGCCATTGCCGTGCATGCGCATTAGGTCTCCCCGTTGGCGGGGGAGGCATGTGCGCAATGCCTGATCCAGCGCCAAGGTACATAGGCGCTGAATTTAGGTAAGTGATGAAGGGGGTTTTAACCCCTTCGGCACAGCAGGAGCCTCTAGTGCCAGGAAAACAGGTTTGTTTTCAGGGCACTATATAATCCCTTTAATAGCTTGATAGACTTTGAAGGAGACTCCAGTGTGTGATTAAAGTTCATTTTACAGATCAGGAGATAAAAACTTCTAAAACAAGTTAATTTTTTTTTCATGCAGTCTGCAAGAGTCACAGCCAGGAGAGGTGTGGATAGATCTGCAAGGACAGAAACAATAGTGATTTAACTCCTAAATGGCAGAGAATTGAGCAGTGAGGCTTGATCTATACACAAAGCGTATGGTATGCATGATTTGCTAACTATTGCAGTTTAGGTTATTTTTAAGCTCTCCTGCAGGTCTTTTCGCTACTTCCCTGCTCTTAACTCAGTGTATCCCTCAATGGCTTACTGGGGTGTCTCCCAGGGAATATAAAACAGTTGAATAATCAAAGTAGTATAGCAATTTAAGTATTAAAAATAAAATTATTCTTGACTTTTCATGCTATCATTACTATCTTTCCTTGTGATAAAAATATAATCTGAATTGTCAAGGAATGCATGTCTTAAATTATGCACCACAAAAATAAAGAATATTCAAATAATTTTTTTTAAATTAAAAAATAAGTCAGCAGATTTGACCTTTTTTTCAGTGCATCCTTAGTGACTATAGTGCCCCTTTATCTCCTAGATGCATCAAAGTCGAATGTGGTGCTACTTTGAACAATACACACAAAGAAAAGTGTGTGTATATATATATATATATATATATATATATATATATATATATATATATATATATATATATATATATATATATATATATATATATATATCTCTCTCTCAAATGTCAATTAGCAGGTTGCTTTTGGTTGTGTTTGTTACACTGGAAGACTGTCAGATATGTAGAGCATAAAAGGCATTTTGAAAAGTTAGCCATGAGGATTATCCACACAGGAAATAAAGTCAAATCTGCTCTGTATAACACAATGGTCGTATTTGGCACCGATAATTAACCACACATTAGCCAAAGACACCGGTTGTGTGCACACAAGTGTTATAGGTCTATTTTAACCACGGCCGTCATGCAGCGCATGGTTTTAACCAAGAGCATTTTCACACTTTTTATTCAACCATTTTCCACCAACTTTTGATAATGTTATTTTTAAAACACATTGAATTTCACAGAAACGCATCTCTACCTTTAGTATATGTCAGGATCCTTCAGCCATATACAAACACATTGGGTCAGGCAGTATTTGAAAACAGTCTCTATAGTTTTCTATGCCTGCACAGAAGCAGGGCAAACCACAGAGACAAACTGTTCGTTTTCAAACACGATCTAATATAGTATTTTACCAGGAAAGGTACATTCAGATTACTCTGGTTTCCATGTACATCCTGGAGATGTTACTTTTGCCCAACAACCAACGGATGCTTTGTTTTGTCTGAAATTGATGACGTGATTAGCTAAATCTTTAATATTCATTTGCAAGAAAAATCTGCCTCATGAAAAAGGATAACAGGAGTTATGGGTGAATTTTTTTTATCCAATGGTGTAAGTTCCAGAGAAGTTGCAGTTCCCCATTAAAACCACTAAGCATGTTTTAATCTTTGTAATTGTACATTGTGTGGGGGCAAAAGGCATTAACTTCCAGGTACTAGTCTTACATGTGCAGGTAGTCTCCATAGTTTACTGTTGAGGACCGTCACAGACACTTCTGCCGAGGGACATCGGCGCTGGATTCAAGTAAGTGGCTGAAAGGGTTTTAACCCCTTGAGCCCCGCAGGAGGGGGTGGCCTATTAAACTTATAGTGCCAGAAAAACGGCTTTGTTTTCCTGGCACTATAGGATCCCTTTAACTGTACAATATGTGTCTGTAAAGACATCTTATATTGCCCATATAATAGTCCTCAAAGCTCACTGTTACAGTGTTTTCAAATAACACCATTAGAGTTTTGAATTGCTCTGTTATTTTAAACTGATACGTCTCCTTAATGAGCACATTGCCATGCAACAGTAACTTACACAGAACTATCACATGGAGCCTAAGGGTAGACTCACAGAGGCACATGATTCTATACAAGAAGCTACTTTCAAGAGGAAATATTGCTTCCCAGGTTTTTCATATCAAGGTTTATCTGCACATCTATCCTGTAACTGATGGTCTGCATCTTGGCTCCCTGTCAATCAGTTATAAATGTTACTTTTCTGACAATGAACCGGTTAGTTAAATTATAATTTGAACAATGTGGGAGTTTTACAAGTCTAGTTACTAAAGTGAGAATTGCCAGAAATGTAAAGGTACACTATAGTCACCAAAACAACTTCAGCTTAATGAAGCAGTTATGAACTATAGATCATGTCATGCAGTCTCACTGCAATTTAAGAGTTAAGTCACTTTGTTTATCCAACTCTAGTTGCACCGCCTTGTATGTACCTGACACGAGCTTCCAAAACACTTTCTGTAAAGAGAGATCTAATATTAAAACTTCCTTTATTGCACCGTCATTTAAATTTTATTTTATCTCAGGCTCTGACAGTGGCCTGCTAGAGCATGCAGAAGCCTTCCACACATGCTTAACCCCTTAAGGACACATGACATGTGTGACATGTCATGATTCCCTTTTATTCCAGAAGTTTGGCCCTTAAGGGGTTAAAGGACCACTATAGGTACCCAGACCACTTCAGCTCAATGAAGTTGTCTGAGTGCCAGGTCCCCCTAGTTTTAACCCTGCAGCTGAAAACATAGCCGTTTCAGAGAAACGGCTATGTTTACATTAAAGGGACACTATAATCACCAGTGCAACTACATGTATTCCTGAACCTATAGTGTTAACACAACCATCTAGCCCCCCTGGGCCCCTCATGCTTACATAAATATAGTAAAAACCTTACTGTATTCAAGCCAGAAGCTGTAAATCTGCATGCTGTTAGACTCAGGAAAAATAAGCAGTCTGCTGACATGTGATAGCCTGATCCAATCACAATGCTTCCCCATAGGATTGGCTGAGACTGACTAGGAGGCAGATCAGGGGCAGAGCCAGCATGATTCAAACACAGCCCTGGCCAATCAGCATCTCCTCATACAGTAGAATTGAATCAATGAATCTCTATGAGGAAAGTATAGTGTCTGTATGCAGTGGGAGGAGATACTGAATCACAGGATGCTCGTGCACAGCAGATCTGAGTAGATGGAGGCATATTATGCCTCCATCAACTCAGAAGTCCCTCTGGTACACGCTGAGTGACTGCAACTGGAGGTGTTCCTAGCTTTCAATGTAAACACTATTTTCTCAGAAAATAAAGTGTTTACATGAGAAAGGCTGCAGGGAGCTATAGTTCTCACCTTAACAACCTCATTAAGCTGAAGTTATTCAGATGACTATAGTGTCCCTTTATGGGTTAATCCAGCCTCTAGTGGCGGTCTCCCTGATAGCCACTAGAGGCGCTTCTGCGATTCTCAGTATGAAAATCACACTGAGATGACCCTGGACGTTCATAGGAAAGCATTGAGTAATGCGGCTATGGCACGCAGCATTCGGAGCGGACGTTGGCGGGGGGAGGAGAGGTCACCATTGCAGAGGGAGCCCGACGCTGGATTAAGGTAAGTGGTTGAAGGGGTTTTAACGAGTTTGTTTTTCTGGCACTATAGTAGTCTTTTAAGGTTTCATTTAAAGAGCAAGCGATAAAAAAAAATCTAAAACCAAGTAAACATCTGATTAAAAATTAAACCATTTTTTTCATGTAGGCTGTGTCAGTCACTGTCAGGTGAGGTGTGGCTATGTCTGTATAAACAGAAACAAAGGTGATTTAACTACCAAATGGCAAAGAATTGAGAAGTGAAATTTCAGAGACCTTAACTGGTTCATTAAGCTAGAGTTCTTTTGGTGACTATAGTGTCCCTTTATGTGTGCATACTATGGAAAATGTTTGCAGGAGATCAGATACATACCAAAAACTATTTGGATACATACCAAAAACTATTTCTCAATGCTTTCCTATGGACGCTCTGCACGATGGAGGCATAATATGCCTCCAGCGTCGCAGATGCGCCTGTAGTGGCTGTCCGGAAGACATCCACTAGAGGCTGGCTTAACGCCAATTGTAAACATAGCAGTTTCTCTGAAACAGCTATGTTTGCATCTGAAGGGTTAAAAACTGAGGGACCTGGCACCTAGACCACTTCATTGAGCTGAAGTGGTCTGGGTGACTATAGTGTCCCTTTAAAAACTCTGCTCATTGATCAAAACTGCAAGGCAGGATTTAAAATCTATATTATATATATATATATATATATATATAACTAAATATGTAATATACAACCATGTCAACTGGAATAAGTTTACACTCAAGAGTTTGACTCCTGTCAGACATTATCGAGCATTAGAAAGTTATAGCAAAGATTATAAAACTAAAATGCTCTTTTCTGGGCCAATATAAAGTTGTATGAAACACAAAAATAATTCCACATAGCAAATAAAGATATTCAATACTATAGCTACTCTACTAGAAATACTGGGCACAAGAACAGATGCTGACAAATCTTTTTTAAAGACTAATTGACGTTTAAAAAAAGGAGGGGGGGGGGTTACTTGAGGCATTTCTACATAAAACAGGGAGGGAGAGGAGTCAGTCAGGAAATATCCCTGCAGAAGGTCACTCTTCGGCACATGCGGTGTCTCTGCAAAATGGATGGTGCCTGATGAAATCAGACATAAGTGCTCCATGAGCAATCTCCAATAGTTTTATCTGTAAAGCACATTTGTTTGCCAACATTATTTCTACAGTACTGTAAGCAGTTAACAAAACGGTAATCAGTGCAGACTTTGTGGTATTTTATAACTGAAAGCAAACAAAATAATCTAACAGATAAATTTAATGAAATGTCAAAGGTGAGCAAGTGATCAGCCCGCTGTTTTTCAGTACTTTAAAATATCTGACAGGCATAGAGAAGCTATAGCGAACTGATTTGTACCAGTATAAGCCTGACTTATTAAAAAGGATTCATTTACAGCAAACAAATAAACTGCAACATTTGTTTGCCCTCACGTTGGTGCCCAGAAGTGGAGATCGTAAACTCATTTGCAAAGAAGAAACAAATACATTCAACAATCTAAACATTACATATTGAAAGCTTTTGATAAAGGAGTTTCTATTTCTACATTATAAAAAATATGGGGCAGTATATGTGACGAACTATAGTATTCATGGTGTTTAAGAGTGCCCCTTTAGATCACCAAGTTGCATTTAAAAATATATAGGAAATGTTGCACTGGAATAAAAAAAAAAGTATCAGTGCTTGTATGTATCCAGCTGTAATGGTAGTAACTTTACCCTTCTGTCAGCTTTGAGTGGTACTGTCCAAAGTAATGTGAGAATACAGAACCTCTTTTGATAAAAGATTCCTGCAGACTAAGCTTTTTCACTAAGCATTTTCTCATGATTTAGATGCAAACTACTTTAGTGTGAAAATAGGTTTAATTCATACAGTTTTTCAATTCACTTGTCAGACTAAACCTGTAGTGTTTATTCACTGCGAATTATGACGCAAACTGCCTATAACTGACAGCAAGTACTGCATATCATTTGATGCCCCCTACGCTGACATTTTATTAAACATATATTCTAGATTTGTCTCGATTATGAAGTCTATACATAAAACTAAATTTCAACTGAACTGCAGGTGAGCACACTTAGCTGTAATATTTCAGATGTTAGTAAAATGTAACTCACCCAGCTATTTAGAGACAGCCTAACTGCAGCCAAATTGGACCAGACAATAAAAATTGCACCCTTTGAGTGTGCTCTCACGTGAGGAGTGAAGAGCAACAAGCATTGGGAGAGATGTGGGAGGGGGTCATGTGTCCTCTGCAGCGAAATGACAGTTTACAAAGCAATTCCACTCATCACAGGTGATGAGTGGAAATGCTGTTTTGGGATAAATTACATAATATACCAAAGTTGTGTGTGAATATATATTCCTGGTTTACCCATAGACTTTCCCCATGGTGCCTGCAAAAAAAACCCTAGAGGAAAACAGGACTTTTGGACCTCATACTAAAATCTCCCTTTTGTTCACAGATACTGCAGTAGAACTGGTAGCCCCAATATGAACACCAACACCTATTTTAACTTAAAGTAATGTTGCTAATGTAATGGCTAAAATACGATTATTCAAACTGTAAACTTACAAAACTATTCACTAAAATAAGAATTGCTGGGAATTCAAAATTAATCAAACATTTAAGGGCAAACTAGATGAACTCCTTTTTAAGGCTATTTAGGCCATAAATGTGAAATTCCCTTTCAATTACTGACAATTCTTAGTTTGAAAGATATTAGTACCAAAACAACCTTTTCTCAATAAAAAAAAAAGTTTTAGTGTATAGCCCAGGGGTATGCAACCTTCAGCACTCCAGATGCCGTGGGCTACATTTCTCACGATGCTATTACATCCATAATGCTTGCAAAGCATCATGGGGAATGTAGTCCAAAAACTTTGCAGTGCTAAACAATGCATATCCCTGGTATAGACCATGCCCCTGCTGTTTCACTCTTCAATTATCTGCCATTTATGAGTTTAATCACTTGTTTCTGTTCATGCAGTCATAGCCACACCTACCCTAGCTGTGACTGAGACCGCATGCATGAAAAAAACAAAACAAAAAAAAACACACTAATCACATACAAGAGGCTCACGTAGGGTCTAAAAGGCTTTTAATAGAGCAAGAGATGGGAATTCTAAATTAAACAGACTATGCAATAAAAGGAGTTTAGACATTAGATCTCAATTTACAGAAAGTGTATAGAAAGGCTGTGGCAGTCACATGCAGGGACGTGCAACTAGAGTTGTATAAACAAAAAAATGACAACTCCTAAATGGCAGAGAATTGAGCCTGCAGTGCCATAATCTATACACTAAAACCGAATCATTAAGTTAAAGTTGTTTTGGTACCTATAGTGTGCGTTTAAATTGGTATTTCAATCTATGCATTTGCTAGCAAACCTGAAGGCAAATATACAGCAGAAATTGTATATTCTTTAAAAGCATCACAAATTATTGGGGGGTGGTGTAGTGCCATGCTGGAGATGGTGGTGATTGTAGTGTCTTAGAGGGGATTACAGTTTCATGCTGGGGATGATAAGGATTACAGTGTCTTGCAGGGATTGCAGTGTCATGTATGGGATTGCAGTGTCATGCTGGGGATAGTGGGGATTGCAGTGTCATGCAGGGGGTAATGAGGATTGCAGTGTCATGGTGGGGGATAGTGGGGATTGTAGTGTCATGCTGGAGATAGTGGGGATTTCAGTGTTACTGGGATGTCAGTCCGGCAGACAGGCTTTCGGGCCTGTTTCTCAGACATTAGTTGGTGCCCACGTCAAGGCTGATTAAACAGGCCCCTGTGCCCTCCCCCACCCCTTACACCGGGCCCCCCCGATGCCCCCTCACCCCAGGCCCCCCCGATGCCCCTCACCCCCAGGCCCTCCCTCACACACCCCAGGCCCCCCTGATGCCCTCACACCCCCCGCCCCCCATCCCTCACCCCCAGGCCCTCCCTCAGGCCCCCCTCCCTCACCCCCCAGGCCCCCCCTCCCTCACACCCCTGCCCCCCCATGCCTTCACACCCCTCACCTCCTGGTTGAAGGCGTTCACGGCGTCCATGTCGGAGTCCAGCGCTGGGCCCGGGTGTGAGAGGAGGAGGAGGAGCGGGCTGCGCGGCGGGAGGGACGGAGCGGCGGATCCCTAGGGCTGCCCTGTGTGATCCAGCATGGCCCGCCGGTACACACCGAGTCCTGAGGGGAGCGAGCGGCCGGGGCGGGGAGGGACGAGGCGGGGAACAAACAAGGTGATGGTGGGCTGCTGGCCGGAACAAGATGGCGGAAGCCTGCCGCGCGCAGCACGTTGGGTACTGACTGAGCCTGCTCTCCCCGCCTGCCAGTGACGTCACCAACTTCCCGCTCTGGAACTGCCCTGAGCGAGCCGCGCGGCGGCCTGAGGGAAGGGGCGGGGCTTCATGCGGTGGCCTGAGAGAAGGGGCGGGGCCAGCTGCTTCAGCGCATATACCATTTTATTATTATTTATAAAGCGCCATCAGATTCTGTAGTGCTGTACAATGGCTATATAATTATAATAAAATTATGTAATACACCATATAAAATAATTATAATATAATAATGTATAATACACCATATAAAATAATTATAATATAATGTATAATACACCATATAAAATAATTATAATATAATGTATAATATACCTTATAAAATAATTATAATATAATAATGTATAATACACCATATAAAATAATTATAATATAATGTATAATATACCATATAAAATAATTATAATATAATAATGTATAACTCTGACCTCTCCTTCAAGCCTCATGTTCAATCTATCGCCAAATCCTTTCTCGCCTTGACTACTGTAATCCGCTTCTCAGTGGTCTTACGTGCTCCCAACTTGCGCCGTTACAGTCCATAATGAATGCGGCAGCGAGGCTCATCTTCCTGTCCGCCCGCACCTGCCATGCCTCACCCTTCTGTCAGTCCTTACATTGGCTTCTTATAAAATAGAGAGCTCAATTTAAAATTCTGGTTCTTGCTTTCAAATCTCTACATAATGCTGCTCCCACCTATCTATCCTCCCTTATACACAAGTGTAAGGAAATTACCAGATTTTACTAATTACATGACGTAAAGTCATGATTTTATAAAGGACACGGAGGCGAGTATTAGGCTTTATCTCTTTCTTTATTCCTCAGCAGCAAAGAAAGGATATTGATATTTTTTAATATAGCAATAACAAAAAGAAAAAAACAGATACCCTTAAGGGTTAACCATATAACATTCCATATCCATTAACCAATAGGATCAGTCCTTGTACTATATCCCTTCATGTGAGGTAAACTACTTCCTCTTTCTGGCTGACGCCGAAGCTGAACACATCAACAAGGGAAAAACATTTTCTCAAACTTGGATAATCTTTCTTAGGGGTTCCGGCGAATGTTCCAAATAATGTTGAGATATTGGACGATCCCGGTTATGTCATCACAGGGTTAAGCTGTAGGAGACAGAGAGATATATGGTAAAATGTATTCGAATATCGTTGTCATACATATATGTTGTACCGGTCCGTAGACAAACGTTTATATCTGAAAACATTGCTTGCGACATTCTAGCATAAATCAGTCTAAATCGCAATCTTACCCTAGAACTTTGATTCTAAACATCCAAAATGCTATAGCTTGTTTATGAGTAAGTGGGTGGGAAAAAAATACATGTACGGCTTACCTTTCAGTGGGCGGGCTAATACTCGCCTCCGTGTCCTTTATAAAATCATGACTTTACGTCATGTAATTAGTAAAATCTGGTAATTTTATTAAAGGACACGGAGGCTCTTATTAGGCTAGTTTAAAGCTGTGATATGACCCTAGACGAGATATGTTCTGTTGGTCTAAAGTAGTATTCCTTAAACGTCGATTCTCGGGACCAGTCAGCTGTGCGGAGGAGGTCTTCCAGTTTACATCCAATGTAGAATGCTTTAGAGGCCATAGCGCCTCTAGTAGAGTGTGCCCCGTAAACGGCTGTGTCGATATTAGCATTTGACATTATCCATTTCACCCAACGTGTCAGAGTTCCCGTGGATACTGGTTGATGAGGTTTTCTCACTGCCAAGAACAAATTATGTGTTGTTGGGTTCCGGAATGGCTGTGTCCGTAATTCATATTCCTGCAGGCATGCTACCGGGCAGAGGTTAGCGTTGTGAGGAAAGGAGGGATAGAAGACTGAAGTGGTGTTCGACTTCGTACGTCTGGTGATATTAAACAGGACACCATCCGGTGTGAATGATCGTGCATCGATGTCTAAGGCCCTCACGTCTGATACCCGTTTGCAGGAAATTAAGCATAGGAGCATCGCCAATTTTGCAGACACTTGCTTGAGTGTGAGGTTCGAGTTTGGGGGCCAATCTTGCAACAACCGAAGGACCATATTCACATCCCATAGGGCCGTGTAACGAGGTTGTGGCGGACGTGCGAATTTTATGCCTCGTAGGAGACGACAGATCCATAAGTGTTTCCCAGCCGGGAAGCCTTCCCAACCAGTGTGCCCAGCTGAAATCGCTGACCTGTACACATTTATGGTGCGATAAGCCAAGCCTTGGTCATAAAGGGTAGTAAGGAAGCCCAAAACCTGGTTTATAGGAGCACGTATGGGATCCACGTGCCGTTCCACGCACCAACTACACCATGTGTTCCAGGCATGAGCATAGGAACGTCTTGTCCCTGGGGCCCAAGCTCCTGCCAATAATTCCAAAGTCGTTTGTGAAACATTCGGCATGGTCCAGGGTCCCCGGAGAGGAGCCATGTTAGGAGTCTGAGATGACCTTGCACCAGAAGTGGATGAGAGTTCCCATCGGGATCTGATAATAATTCCATGCTCCCTGGAATCAATCTGGGGAGGTCGATTGACATTTCCATGAGGGAAGGGAACCATGGCTGTGCCGTCCAGAACGGTGTTATCAAAACCAACGATGCTCGGGAGCGCTGTAAGTGTAGGAGAGTCCGCGCTATGAGTGAGAAAGGGGGGAAGGCGTATAGCCTGGTGTTCGGCCAATTTTGTAGGAAGGCATCCACTGCCGTGGCGTCTGGGTCCGGTCTCCAGCTGAAGAATGAGGGGAGTTGAGCATTCAGCCGGGAGGCAAAAAGGTCGATGTGCATCGGTCCCCAGAGTTGGTGGAGTTTCTGGAATACTGTGCGATTCAATCGCCATGCACTGTTGTCTCGTAAATGCCTGGAGTGCCAATCCGCTACGGTGTTGGAGAGGCCTGGGAGGTATTCCGCCTGTACGGATATGCTGCGACTCAGGCAGAAATGCCAGAATTCTTTCGCCAAGTTCGTGAGGATTGAGGACCTCGTGCCACCCAAGTGGTTGATGTAGCGGACGGCTGAGACATTGTCCATGCGTAGGAGTATGGAACAATTGGTCGTGTGTCCGAGGAGGCTCCGTAGGGCGAATGACCCAGCCAGGAGTTCCAAACCATTGATGTGGAGTTCTTTTTCTTCGGAAGACCATTTTCCACCTGTAGAGGTAGGACCACAGCGGGCCCCCCATCCCAGTCTGCTCGCGTCGGATTCTATGACTAGATCCGGAGTGGTGCCGAAGATTGCCTTGCCGTTCCATGCTTCCATGTGTTGAAGCCACCATGCCAGTTCCTCTTTTGCCGCGCAGTCTAGAGGTACAGAATCTGAATAGGAGTGACCCAAGCGTAGGTGGGTTGCCTTGAGTTGTTGTAGGGATCTGTAGTGGAGAGGGCCTGGGAAGATCGCTTGTATAGAGGCCGAGAGCAGGCCAATTATCCTGGCTAGCTGTCGGAGGGTTAAGACTGGTCGAGCCAACGTCCTCCGGATTTCCTTCTTGATAAGTTTTACTTTTGCGGTAGGAAGACTGAGCGTTCCGTGTACTGCGTCTATATCGAAACCCAAAAACTCTATCGAGTGTGAAGGTTGTAGGATCGATTTGTCCCAATTGATTAGGAAACCTAGGTTTTGTAAAAGGGTTACTGTCCAGAATAGGTGTTGATTCAGTAGCTGTGTGTCTTGGGCCATGATCAGCATGTCGTCGAGGTATATGATCAGACGTACACCTCTGCTGCGAAGGAGGGCAACTACCGGTTTCAGCAGCTTGGTGAAGCACCACGGGGCTGAAGACAGGCCGAAAGGGAGGCAGCGGAAACGCCACATCGTCTGGTCCCATTGGAATTGCAGGAATTGTTGACAGTCCTCGGCAATCGGTATTGTGAGGTATGCATCCTGGAGGTCCAATTTTACCATCCAGTCTCCCAGTCTTAATAGGTCTCGGAGGCAGTGTATTCCTTCCATCTTGAAGTGATGGTATGTGACAAAGGCGTTGAGAGGCCGCAAGTTTATTACTGGCCTCATGCCCCCACCTTTCTTGGGTACTAAGAAGATGTTGCTTAGGAACCCGGGGGCGGTAATAGGAACCCTGTATATCGCACATTTTTTCTCCAGTGCGTGAATCTCTTTTTAACACTAGCTGTTTGTCTAGTGGGGAAAAAATAATCCGATGTGGCAATGAGAGTTGAATCGGCTGTTGTGTAAATTCGATGTGATAGCCGAGGATGGTCTCTAGGACCCATGTATCTGAGGTTAGGTTGTGCCACGCATCCTGGAATTGAAACAATCTGCCCCCCACAGGTACAAAGGGAATGGTGTGTAATGTGGAGTGACTCACCATAAGGCCGACGGCCATAGGAGGATCCCCTGGTTCCGCGTGGATGCCATGATCTGCCCCTGGTCGGGAAGAATGGTGATTGTGCCCTCGGTTCGGGTGGGTGGAACCGGGTTGTGGCGGAGCCTCGATAGCCCCGGAACTGAGTCCGGGAGGGGCGGCCGGACAGACGGCCCCGCTGTCTGCCGGCCCCCCCGAAAACCTTTTTCGAGAACACTCGCTTCATATTATGTTGTGCCTTATCTAGTGCCGTAAATGTGTTTACGTAATTACCCAGGGTCTTAACAAAATTGTCTCCAAATAAGAGACCTTTTGCCTGTGTGCCAGGCTCGGAGATTGCCAAATGCACTAGTTTTGGCTCGATTTTCAACAATATGGCTTTACGCCGTTCCGTGGCCAATGCGGTGTTGGCATTTCCTATTAGGCATATGCCCCTCTGAATCCAGCCTCTGATGGCCATCAAGTCAATTGGGGTCCCCCCAGTAAGGGCCGCTTCGACCATATCGAAGATTTTAGCTATAGGCCCGAGTATGTCCAGGATCTTGTCCTGGCAGTGTTTTAAGGAGTAGTCCAAACCCTTCTTGGCCCTCCATCCTGACTTACCCAGGAACTGGGCGACTTTGGGATCCACTTCAGGGGTCACGCAGGCCATGTCTG